ACCCTGTCTTCCAATCCTCATTATTGTAACTTAGTGCACGCACCAGGAATTATTGGTTAAAAATCCCCATCCTGCCTCCCAATTCAAATCCTTGCAGTTTCTACTCCAGTTTCTCAGAAATATCCTTAAACCAGAACATCTGCATTGCAGTTGTGGCCCAAGAGAGACAAAAAAGCCACAGGAGATCTGTGTGATAAGCGTGGTCCTATCTGGCAAGTTGGGATTAAAGGCAGGTTCTGTTCTGGAAGGTCTGAAGACCTTCACTGCTGTACAGAATAACAAACAAAAGTATTAAGCCACATTCTAGCAGTAAAGTTAAATCGATGTCAACAGGGTCAAAGAAAGAAACGATTTAACAAAATACTTAAACAAGGTTTTGGTTATACACTAGCCATACTTACTACAGTGTATCTGGAGGACCAATAATGAGGACTTCCCATCGATAGAGATCATTATCATCTATTAAGCCTGCTGAAAAGCCTTCCACTGGGTTTTTGTTGAGCTCTGTTTTATAAAAACAGGGAAAACATACCGTTAAACACACACATTGTACTTCATTCTTAACAAGAAGACAGAGCTGATTCAAGTACTCTTTAGGCTGGTACTCAATAGCTCTATTCTGCATGCTTGAAGTCCCTAGTTTGCTCATTATTTGATAAATGCAAAGCCCATATTCAGGAATCCACCAATGACCAAATCATAAAGTTATTTTGTTGAAGACAAGTTGCTTTCCTATTCCCCTATAAGCTATCATATCTTGATCTGTGGTCAGATTTTTCTCCCCCCGCAAAAAATGAACGGAACAGTTAAATAATCTACTATTAATATGAAAACATGTGAAAACCCAGGAGCCTGCTATTAAGAGCTCAAATTAAAGCCTACAGTCTTTTATAAGGCTGAACTGGTACCATGCATCAAAACTAGTAAAAATGATCACTGAGTTTAGTTTACCTCTATTTCCTTAAGGTGGTAAGTTGGTCTAAAAGGGTAAGTATAGAAAAACTCTAAAACTGAAAGGTTTTGTTGTTTTATTTCGAAACATAAAAGGATGATTTAATCACACAATTCCATTGTTTAATCTTTATCAGTTCCCAAGTTATTTCTAGGGTTTCTAGGCCAAAACTGACATACTGGTTTTAACTTGGAGAGCCCTTAAGGGCAGCCAGTTTATTCCCAGTCAAAAGTTATTTAAGTTACTTTGACATGCAAGCAATTTCAAGAAGCTTGTTTGGGTAAAGGGTATATCCTAAACCTCCAAGTTGTATAACAGGGGTAAGCAACCTGGTGTCCCCCAGATTTCTGAGCTACAGTTTCTATCAGACCTGGCCTGCAAGGACAATAGTCAAGAGATTATGGACTCATAGTCCAAAACCTATGGAGAGCATGAGGTTCTCTGTTATACAAGTTCAAAAATTAGTTCCAGTACTGATGTGTGGTCAGAAGGATACATAAACTTAGCAACAGTGTGGCTAGGAAACAGTTGCACCTTTAACTGAAAGCGACTGCTTTTGGTTTTTCTCTCAATTTCCTTACAAGTTATACAGCTGGGAGTTCACTGAATTCTGAGAACAGCGCTTCAACCTTGAAGTCAGAAACTGTCCACATTAAGAAAGTATCCAGTTAAGATGTGTTTCTAGCAACACATGTTGTAACTATTTTTAAATGACAAATTTAGTATTTTTATTTATGCTTATTTAGAAATGATTTAAACAAAGTATGATTCAATGTTTTTAACCCACCCTACTTTGCCTACACTCCACCATACACCAACATCTGTAAAGACCAGGTTTATCACAAGTAAAGCTTCACCAGCTTACACAGTTGTACTAGGCTTATCGAAGGAGGCCAGGGAGCATAAATCTATAATGTACTATCCCAAGACTTGTACTACTCATACAATTCACAGGCTAAATTGCTAGAGACACTTTTTAATTACTAGCCACTCTCACTGGTCAACACATATTTGCATGCAAAACTCACAAAGCAGATTCGTTTCACAAATAAACTTACAACTAGGCTATACGGGAAGCCTGAAACTGTAAGAGCAGAGAGTGTGGCAGTAGTGCTAACAGAATAACCGGACCCAAGAGAATAACTGACCCAACTGGATGACATGTTCCGTGTTTGCAAAATTTTGTAGCTAAGTGACTGATGTTATGGATGTGGTCCAAGCCACAGAAGAAAAGCTTTATGCCTCTCCAGTAAGTTCAGCACATTTTAGAAACCATAAAACACTCATTTTCCAATTGATGTTATGTGTGACCTGCAGAGAGAGAATGCACCCATATCTTTAGCAATATTATTAATTCCTTGGCTTCATCATTTGGGTTTCCTACAATGGAGGTAGGCAGAAGGCAGATCTAGCTCTCTGGGAGATCAGCGCAAGATTGACAAGGATTTCTGGCTTGTTAACATCTGCTATTAACAATAGTTGCAATAATTCTGCAAAGAGGAATGTCAAGTAGATTTTAATGTGGAAGGTCTGTGAGCTTCAAAACAAGTTCTGGGCCTCAGAATTCTTTAATTCTAAATATCTCTCTTTTATAGCAGTCTCCAGCTGGAAGGATCTGATTGAAAACGAAGTCTGAGGTATGCTCACCACTGCCCTAGAGCAGAGCCAAGTATATTTAAGGAAAAGAACCTTTTGAAGTCATTTTGTTTCAATGCAGCAGCTACCCTACCTCTAATTGAGCAAAAGTTTTGGACTAAGCAGAACACTGGTTGCAGTTAGTGAAGTGTCAACATGAAGTCCATCTCAAGACCTCATTTCTCCATGAGGGTTACGATGTGAAATGGAAAACTGACTCATTCTAACCCAGTTGTGTTTCCATTTGCTCTCAAAAAGGCATTACCATGAATTAAAAAGCAAGAAAGATAGTCTTGAATGTGTGCCTTATGCTGTCCATGGCGCAGGCAGGCACTTACACTGACACCACCCAACAGGATGCTTTAGCAAGCATCGCTCAGAGCGTGGCTTTAGTTCCAAGGTGCAGCAGGCAGGGCTGCCTTTGTTGACTTCCCTTTACAGGGAGAGAGACTCCTGAACAAATCCAAGTGAGTCAATGCAGCACTGTCAACAAAAATGACTAAGCAAGACGAGCCCTGTGGCTAACGGAGCAGTTACGTATGGCATCTCAACTTTCAACTCGCCTTGGCAGTTCCAGCCTGCCATTTCACAAGAACGCTTCTGCTGAAAGGGATTAAATCCTCTGGAATTTCCTCAAGAGCCTATATAGCCAAGACACATCTACAAGATGTCAGAACATTAGGATCCATTTTCTAATGCTACATTTTTGTCTCTAGTGCCTGCAGGACAAGGTCGTTTTGTAGAGCACCTAGGTTTTAAACTGATATAAATAAGAAAATTCTGAAGCAGCCAAAGCTCATGCTTTCAACTGTTTCGAAGTTACATGTTGTCTTGTATAGGCTGTTTCCTGGGCAGAGTTTACAGCTCTGACACTAAAGAATACCAGAACACAAAGGAGAGTTCAGGCCAACATCTGAAAAGCTCGGGTGAACAGAAAAGTTATACTGTGGTGCCCAGATGGCAAGGAGAGCTGCAGCCTGCAAGTCCCTGGTGGCTGCCCACCTCACTTCTGATAGCAGATGCACCTAGAGAGGGGCATCAGAGGATTACCAAGTCATGCATGACTTTCACACCTCAAGCTGGGCTCGGAAACAAGGCAAGCATACAGCGATGCTCTTCCACCCCTGGCAAAACACGCTCCCAATGTGCAGTTCTAGTCAAGACTTCCAGATGTTTTTGTATTACCCGCCACTTTTGAAATGTCTTGAAAAGCACCCCCCAACATCCCCCCCACACGTACGGATGTATTCCACCAGTCCAGACAGGTTATCAGAGGATGGAAATGCACAGACCACCCATTTCCAGGAAAGGTCACACACTTAAGCTGGTAAAAGCGCTGGATGTCACCAAGGCCACCTGGGACTCTGGTGACAACAGTGAATCTCAGGGAACCCCCAGCTGCATACTTACTCTTGCAAAGAGAATGTAAGTATGCCCAGAACAGCCTCACCAGGACCGCACGCCAAACAAACTCCTATCCGGACGCCATTACAAAGGGGGCTTTATTACGGGAACGTGTGAGCTACGCTTCGACCGGTGTTCTTGGAACTTCCACTAGGAGCCAGAGGAGATCGAAATGGTATACAAGGCTCAGCTTAACAACACTCCCGCAAAGCAGATCATTCACCCACGTTTGCACACTGGCACGGTGCAACAGGGAGGTGCTTGGGAGAGGCCTTCTAAGATCACTACTCTTCTTTTCCAAACTAGGTGATTGTGGAAAGTGTTGGACTAGGATCAGTCATAATCCTGGCTATTGACTGCAGTAGCTGGAAGTGGTAGCCGGCATCTTGGGCCCTAGACAGGAAAGCTGCTGTATTAGCAATCCAATCGTCTCTTCCATAAACTTTTACAAAAACAATTGATGAAGACTAGACGTCTCTCCTTAACAGCCCACATCCTGGCCTCAGATGGCAGACTAAGAACAGAGCATTTCTGGACAGCTGATTGAAGAAATGGTGTGTGCTTGGAAGACAATGCATTCAACTGCACTCAGTCATGACAACCCCTGGGTTAAATAACCCGGTAATTGCTGCTACAAGCAAACCAGGTCAGTCAGAGCCAACAACCTTGTTTTTAAGTGTGCTGGATCTTGTCAACCACTGAGGCTGGACTGGATTACATTTACTATTATTCCAACATATAACCAAGATTAAATTATGGGAGGAGGCAAAGAAAAAACCATTCTTTCCATTTCAACACCTTATCATGCCTGGCACCAACCCTAGCATCTTTTGGTGCCAGGTTAAGATGGCCCTTTGTGCCAAAGCGTTTAAAGATATACTGGGATATCCAAGAGCCTGGAGGCGTTTCCCACCCTGTGTTTCTACAGGGTTAGTCTTCATTTTTTGCCATTTCTTTCTTTTGTTTAAAATGTTTGTATTTTTATAAGAAGTGGCATTTTACTGCATTTTATTGAACTGTTTTTATGAACTGTTGCAGGCCACCCAAAGAGCTCTGGCTATTGGATGGTATAAAAATTAATAATATCTTCCATTACGTCTTGTTAAAATCTAGACTCATTGGGAGTGCCCACATCTTGTTAGGCAAGACTTTAAAGGAAAAGTGATCCCAGGCAGCTGCATTCTAGATACTGTTCCACCTGTTCTCTAAAATCGCTTATATGTGCATCAACTCTGTTCTCCTTCAATTGACTCTTATCATGATCACACACCATCCTCAGACTCACACCGGCAGACAATTGCATGGGGGAAGAACTATGGAATATGGCCATGCAGCATTACAGCAGCCCTATTTAGCCCCAAAGTGTTGTTCATTCACACAACGGTCCCATATAGCAATCCCCAAAAGACGTACACGTGTATTCTGGGGGTAGTGGTAAACCAAATCATCAGCCGCAAGCCAGCTATAATTGTGCGGGGGGAATAAATCACTATTGTTGCGGCACATGCAGATC